GTAGTAGTAATGATGTTGGTGACTTACTTTGGGTTCATCATGAGCCGACGGAAGAAGAAGGTCCAGGTGATACACTCCAGCGCCGACTGCATTGAGGCGACACTGCCTGTAGCGATCTCAGCGTTCAGATAGTCGGCCAGGACCTGGGGCAGACAGCTCTCCACCGGGAAGGGCTCGTACAGGAAACGTTTGTAGAAAGCCTTCTTGGTGTCCTGTACCATAACCACCGCCTTGCCTTCATTGTCGAACTGCGGTCGACCGGCTCGACCCATCATCTGCAGCACGTCTAAAGCGGACGAGGAAAAAAACAAGCATCAACAGCAGCAGCAGCTGTGTCGCTCAGAATAAAAAAAGGGTGGAAGCATTACAGCAGGCCGTTGGCGGTGCTGCCAGGGGGTGTCTGGAAATTGTCAAGAACTTAACACCTGCCCGTCGTCAAGCTAAAAGCAAGGAACTTTTACTACCTACCTTACATAAAAGGTAGCTTCGATACTGTCTATGGACAACAAGGTCAAATTGGCATCGCCGTCGCCCACAAGTCCGAATCATCCTTACGCGCCACCCTATGCCGATTAAAAGGGCCTCAGTTACATTGGACAACTAACCAACGTTGTTCACCACATGTCATATGCCAGCTGTCCGCGTGATTAACTTGATCACAGAGGCCGACGTCTCGGAACTCGCATCAACGAGCATAAGTTAGCCGTTCCTTGACTGTACCCCTCATCACTCGTATTTGCGCACTCCCTTGAGTGTAACCATCGCTTTAATTTGGACGACACTTAGAAGACCGCCATGTAGCCAAGCGAGAGAACTCCTCGAAGCTTGGCACTCGAGCCCGACTAACACTAACAGACGTGTGGATCTCGATTCCCACTATGAGGGTTTGCGTGCACGGCTGCATTTCACAACATTAACAAAATCTTGTAATTAAGCACACAAAACGCATTTTCTGTTACAGAAAATTTGACGATTACAAACCCAGGATGAGATAATATTGTTGCGTGAAATTTCTTTTTTCATATGAAGTATGCACGCATACATAGGGACATCCCAAACGCAAAGGAACAATGCATGGTACTTAAATAGTTTTACCATCGAGGGTATGCTTTTTTGCCCGAATTGCATTCAAGCCAGGGAATTCGGGAGTAAATGACTGATAGATAGTGGAGACAATTATTTGCGAGCCAGACATCTTGTCTTGGGGAAAAAAGTTGGATGATCGGGCAGTCACGACATGCTGGGTGAGATCGCGCTCCGAGATGTCTGGCTCGGGAAAGTGACAA